AGGCCAAGCAGCATCAGAGGAGCAGGAAAGCTGATGTTTCGGGCCTTGAAGAAGGGTCTAGGCCGGAAACGTCAGCCTTCCTGCTCCTCTGATGCTGCTTGGCCTGCTGTGTTCATCCAGCTCTGCACCTTGTTGTCTCGGATTCACCAGCATCTGCAGTTCCTACTATCTCTTACTCAACATACCGTCTAGATTACTACAGGCAGAAATTCTGCTCTAATGGAATCACCAGACCTTGCCTGTAATTTGTCCTCTTGTCAGTCTTCCCCTGTCCTACTCCCCCTTCCCTTTCTCTCCTCGAAATCTGGCTCTGGCTAGCAGTCTCTGCCCTTTCACCAGCTCAGGCCATGCCTCAGGGTGGAAAAGGCAGTTTCTATATCAGTGCAGTTTCCCGATCCCTGTGATATGGTGAGATGTGATGGAGTGTTATTGACAGGGGAACGTTCTCAGAGAATTCAGAGGAGCAACACAAAAACACGGGGCACCCACTTCTCACTCTCTGGATCCCCACTGTCCAACTGGGGCAGGACATCTTCAGGTCAATGCAGCTCCTCCCTCGGCCCACATAGCTTTGCCCTTTTGTTGGGGCGGGGAGGAGGTATCTGGGAGGGTGGGGCAGAGGTTAGCTGAAGTGACTCGGGGCATTGGGAGGATACACAGGGTACTGACTCACTCAGGGATAAAGGTGTGAAGTGCAGTGTAGTTCAGTGGTGGTGGGGGGGGGGTGGTTGGGGGGATGGTGGGAGAGGACTGGGGGCAGACAGCATGGGGAAGTAGGTCTTAAAGTCAACCAGCACGCAAACATGCCCTTCGGCCCAACTTGTCCATGCTGACCAGATATCCTAAGCTAATCGAGTCCCATTTACCAGCATTTGGCCCATATCCCTCTAAACCCTTCCTATTCATGTACCCATCCAGATGCCATTTAAATGTTGTAATTGTACCAGCCTCCACCACTTCCTCTGGCAGCTCATTCCATACACGCATCACCCTCTGTGTGAAAAGTTACCTCTTAAGTCCCTTTTAAATCTTTCCCCTCTCACCTTAAACCTATGCCCTCTAGTTTCAGACTCCCCCACCCTGGAGAATAGACCTTGACTATTCACCCTATCCATGCCCCTCATGATTTTATAAACCTCTATAAGGTTACCCCTCAGCCTCTGACGCTCCAGGGAAAATAGTCCCAGCCTATCCTGCATCTCTTTATAACTCACCCTCCAGTCTCGGCAACATCCTGGTAAATCTTTTCGGAATCCATTCCAGTTCAATAACATCTTTCCTATAGCAGGGAGACCAGAACTGAAAGCAGTGTTCCAAAAGTGGCCTAACCAATGTCGTGTACAGCTGCAACATGACCTCCCAACTCCTATACTCAATGCACTGACCGATAAAGGCAAGCGTACCAAATGCCTTCTTCGCTACCCTGTCTATGTGTGACAGTACGTAACAGAATGAAATACAGTGTAGTCAGAAACATGCATTGAGAGCATGAAGGGTTAATGGAATTCTCTCCATGTGGAGCTGATGTCTGTCCCTGGCGATTTGCCAAAGAATTTGTTCAGTTATAAATGAGAACACATCACAACATCCCCAGTCCTGAAGTGATCACAAGCCAAGAAGCTTCGTCAAAAACAACAGGTTGAAAAGATGGGAGCAAGGTACAGAATCTCACCTTCCTTCCTATTAGTTGTGCCATTTTATTCACAATGACCAAGTGAGATAGGGTTTCCTTTAAAAGAAAAATAAGCCATTTTCTTTTACTCACTGGAGTTGAGGAGGACCATGGCTTTCAGACAGAGATATTCCTCATGTTGCAGTTTCAACTCCCGAAACCTGGAGGTGGCTGCCAGTAACATGTCAAAGATTTCCAGAATGCCTTCGACACACTGTCCCTCATCCCTACAGAGGCCAGAGAGAAAACCATTAGTGGTAACTGAGAAGGAGCAACGGAAGGAATTCAGTTCCAGGCAGAGATTCGGGAAGCGGGAGAGACGGACCTTATGTGTAGCATTTCAGTGAGGGCCGCTTGCTCCTGAGCAGGTTCCAATCGCAGGGGGAAATTAAACTGTTTCCACTGGGCAGCACGCCCCACCATTAGAACAAAAGGTGATTAGTGAAGGAAGCAGAGAAATTGCCAGACCTGTCCAGTATTTCCAACATTTTGTTTTGTATCAGAGGCAGGAAATGTTTAATGCAGTGAAATGCTGTGATTCAGAAAGCGTTCCCTCAGCACTGACCATCCGACAGTGCGGCACTCCCTCAGCACTGACCATCCGACAGTGCGGCACTCCCTCAGCACTGACCTTCCCGCAGTGCGGCACTCCCTCAAAACTGACCTTCCCACAGTGCGGCGCTCTCTCAGCACTGACCCTCCGACAGTGCAACGCTCCCTCAGCACTGAACCTCCGGCAGTGCGGCGCTCCCTCAGCACTGACCC